AGAAATCTTTTTTTTTTAAATAATTAATCCGTCGGAATTCCGTCGGTAAAAGCGTGGCCGTCGGAAATKRGTCGGTAKAAGCYTGGRCGTCGGAAATCCGTCGGTAAAAGTGCCGTCGGAAATCCGTCGGTCACCACCGTCGTCGGAAATCCGTCGGTAAAAGCGTGGCCGTCGGAAATCCGTCGGTCACCACTGTCGTCGGAAATCCTTCGGTAAAAATTTCAAAGTCGCACAAGATGCAATTGCTCGTGAAATCGTAGAAAGCGTGGAGAGGCTCGGTGAGGAGTAACTCCAATCCCAACCGATCGTCGAAGGAACTCCACCGGCCACTGAAGTTCCACTCGAGAAGATCAACGAGTTCACCTATGAGYTTAGTAACACTGTCAAATTTAAACAAATWTAAAATAAATTTTAATACWAATAAGTTAGAACATTGATTGATTTATTTTTTATCGTAGGTTACGCCTAAGAACAAAGGTCGTGTCTTTGGCCTCCCGGAAGACAGTTCCTCCACCTCAGAAAAAGTAAGATTTTCTTTATTTAATTGATATTTGCTAACCTAAACCTTAGACATTTAAACATGGCAGTAAAAATAATTTAAGAAACAGATTTCAGGTTCTTGACATCCAAACAGAATCATAATTATCTCTAGCATAGCATTTTCATCAGCGGTTAATCAAAATCCATCATTAGTTTAGTTCCACGAATTACCAACAATATAGACATGGCTAATCTTGTTTTTCTGCTTAGGGAGTTTGATAATTTTTCAACATTTGTATATATTAATTTTCTCAGGTACTGATGGCCTAATCCATGTTGATAAGTTTTAGTTACAGAGGTAAACAGATTCATATCAGAAGTGCAAATAATTTACCTTTAAAGGAAGGTAAATTTAAAATGAAATGGTGCTAATTTGGGCATTTATTCGAGTAATTTACCTTTTAAAAGATTCCATTCTAAGGCATCATGGAAAATGCAACATGTTTAGAATATGTGGATTGATAAATAATTGTCATACCTTGGGATCGGATACTAATATAATTATAGTTGGTGGGTTTGATAATTAAACAATAATTAAGTAAAAACTGTCATTTTTCAAAATTTTGCAAAACTGCCACTTTTTCAAAATTATTTATTCGATATATCATTTATGTTTGTATTAACTATGTTGTATTAAACATGCTCTTATAAATGGACAACCAATTGTGACATTTTGAAAATAGACACAAAAAGTGGTATTTTTATAATTATGCTTTTATAAAACATGCTCTTATACAATAATATTTATAAAAGAATATAAAATGATATTCTTAAAAATAAATAATAAACATTGTTACATTAAATATAATATCATAAAAATGATATTTTTCCACATTTCTAAAGTTGGGGTATGTAAATATAAGAGTCAATTAAGTAGTGTAATCTATTACCAAAAGTTCTGGAGAAGTGGAACCATGAC